CGTGCACATCGAACACTCCAGTTGCTATTTCTTCCTGTGCCGCTCACGATGGATGGGGATGGGTGAGCGGCGTGGATGGCCGGCAAGGCACGTATTGCTTGCACGAATGAAGATGCTGTAGACCTTCAGAAGGAGGACCGATATGGGCATAGGACGTGACAAGTCTGAATTCACCGTTAGGCACAGCAACTATGCAACTAGTTGACTTGGCAGGTGCTTCTGGACGACTCGTTCGCCATACAGTCTAGCCATGAGACACGTAACTCCCATGGGAGGCGTGCAGCAACGGCGCTCTCTTGCCTGATGGCTGGCATCGTTTCCAAACTGTCCTCGTCGCTGCAACGAGCCCAACGATAGCAACACATTCCGCGGCCATGGCAGGCCACCACAACGATTGAAGGGACGGCAACGACGAAGCATCAGGGCAAACAAGTGTTTGATCGATGCACGCTTGGTCGCCCACAGCACATGTGTCGAGGTGCTGGACACAGAGCATCCAGCACATGGCGCCGCCGCCGGGAACTTCGCCTGTTCGAACGTACTTCAGCGTTTGGCACATCTCGACCTCGTGTTTCATGCTGGGGGCATTACAATGAAGCATGCATTGTGCTTTCGTCGTCGACAGGTCGCTTTCGTTGGACGGAACCCACTCGCCCAAGACACAACCGAGGTCCGACGCAAGCAACGACAGGTCAACGCGACACCCTAGCGTGGCCAAGACTGCCGTGTCGCGGGTGGTCGTTGGTTCGTTCAATGCCAATCTACGTACTATTGAAACGTGGACGCAGTTGACCTCGTTGACGCAGTTGACCTGGTTGACCTGGGTTGGGACACCATCCAGTGTCAATTGTAGCACGAGACCTGCGTAAGTGGATTTTCTCAGTGAATGACTGACGTATATTGGGGCAGCTACAAGATACCCGATGGAGCGTTCGTGGCAAGGCGTCCGTCGGCCACGTCGAAGTAACACGGCGCAGACGTGAGCAGGAGCAAGCCGTTGTCTGTGTGAAAGTCCAGCGACATTGGCGGCAAAGTTGAGGATGTTGAGGACATGCGGAGAGCTGGCGCGGCGAACGAGGTGTATCGATGGACGTGTTCGCTCGACTGCATCCAGAAACGACGACGGCGAACCAGTCGCATCCGACAATAGATGCGCCAACTGGAGCGACGCAGTGTTGAGTACCTGTCCATGTGCCTTGTGCGTAACTTCCAAATCGGGGCAGTGCGCATCGAGGGCGAAGAACCCGCCCGACGACGTATCTGCGTGGGACCTGATGGTCGTTCGTTCCGTTCCGTCGCCAAGGGTTTTGTACAACAACCCCTCAAGAGATGGATAATTTCGCATACAAGTGTATGCGGCGTGGACGTACGCGGCATAGGATGGGATATTGCGGCAGCGCTACAATCCCACGCGCTTGGAGCGTTTGCACCAGGGCATGGTGGTCATAGGGATCACCATAATTTTCTTCAAAATTAAAAATAGTACAACATAAATCTTTATGAATATTTTTAGAGGGAATCGTAAAGTTTATGTAGCCGAGGTAGACGTGATGTCGGCGGCCGTGGCGGCAACAGCAGCATCAAGCAGGACAGCACGGACCAGCGGCATTGTCGCAATCGATGCAAGTCTTGGATTGTTGTGTTTTGTCTGCCATGTTCTGTTTGAAGTTGTCATGTGCTACGCTTACCACTATTTGTAGTGGAGTTCATTTCACACAGCTACGTACTTGTGCACCAAAACTAAGTTATTCATAACTGGGCTGATAAATACAAAGCGAGTCAAATTGCTGACGCATTATTGTCATTAGACCTCCTGGCAAATGAAGGGTTTTCAATTGAGAGATGGAGTACTAACTTAGACAATAGAACACTCCTCAAATTTTATAAACTATAAATGCATTGATGCTCTACTTCAAATTTTTCATCATGATTTCTTGGCGAAACGCGACTTGAATTATAACATTACATCGAATTGCCCATGTCGTCTTTTCTAGAACCCTAAGTGCAATGGCGTTTTAGTCAATCACTTCAAAAGTTACTGTGTACCATCCAAGAACACTCTCTACACCTCGCTCATGCCCAGCCATACGTGCCGTGTCTCGTTGGAGAAATAGATCGCTGCAATATACACGTCGCCTTGCAGGAGTAGGCCGACGGCGCGGCGGTTGTCGGCAAGACTGAACGACGGCTCGAACAGCACGTGGACTTCGTTGGGATGGACAGACACGTGCGGCTCCCACCGATGGTGCATGCGCAGAATGACGTCGATG